CGGCGTGGCCGGGCATTGCTCGGGTCCTAACGTGCTTCCGTGTTTCTGACACCTCTTTTGGGCAGCGACCCTCACCCAGGCAGGGGCCTGGCGTGTTGACAGATACCCAGGACCCCACTCTTGGCCCTTCGCATCGGCTGGATGACAGTGATGACATTAACCATATTTCCAAATGGCCAGCTGGCCTCATTCTACCCCATCTCCCATTAGGGACAAATTCCATTACGACTGAAGCTAAATAGATTCCTCACTGGACATGCTTTTGGTTTTGGGGTTTTTTAAAAAAAAACTTAAAGCCCATTGTGGAGGTTCAGCCCCTCAGCCTCCTCTTTTATCAGGCGTTGGAACGAGTTGCCCAGGGCAGTGGTGGAGTCTCCATCCCTGGAGGTATTTAGGAGTCCTCTAGACATAGTGCTCAGGGACATGGTTTAGTCAGGGACTTGTCAGTGTTAGGTTAGTGATTGGACTCAATCTTAAAGGTCTTTTCCAATCCAGGCAATTCTGTGATTCTCCAAGCCTGCAATACACTGCCCTAATGCACACTTAGCATCTGCCTTTCCAAGTGCGAGGGAGCGTGGCAAGTCCCTGCAGGTGGTGGTGGGATCAGCGGTGTTAGCCTGCCGAGAGGGATATTCATGGACTCCACACACGATTCAATGTGAATTCTACTGGAGACCTTTATTATTGGTTACATGATCACTTATATACTCTTAAGCTGCTAACACACACACACACACACATAAACAACTCTTCATTGGCTAAAAGCTACTGTTCACACGCCTGGTTACAATACTTGATTGGATAAATCCACCTGTTCATGAGGCATTCTTTTTACTTCTGGATAGTTAAAATAAGAAGTTTTCTTATCTTGTTTTTCTTGCGAATCACGTACTTTCTCACAAATCGCGTTCTCTTGTGTTTTCTCACTCAAAATCAGGGCTTAATTGCCCAAGGCTGAAGCCGCTTGCAGCTTGGGCTCTTAAAGCGCCAACATTAACCAGCACTCAGATCACTTGTCGATGTCCCCGCTAGCCTGCCTGGAGCAGAGGTAACAAACAGCACAGAGGTAACAAACAGCATCTGCAGTTCAGCTGGCATTTTCTGAGCACTGCTGCAGTGACGTGAGAGTGGCTAATTTCTGGGTACACTGAGCATCAGTGCCAATGCGAACTTGACTGGGGCATAACCATCCTCAGGAAGAATTTCTCTTGCATTTACAAACTTTCCAGTAAACATGGGGTGTACAGTCACTCCATTTCTTGGGTCACTGTACTGCTGGTAGGAGGCACCAGTCAAAGGTCACTGGTTTCCATGCAACTCTCCTTTTTTGGTCTCTCTGGGCTTTGGTGTGAATCAAAAGAGCAGAAAACTTTTATGTTGCAGCAGATGTTGTATTTCCAGATCAAAACAGATGCAGCTGAAGAAGGTTTGTTAGGCATTCTAGGTAGCAGCGTAAGTTGGCTGTGGATTTCTGAAAGATTGGCTTCTTCCTGGGAAGGGAAATGTGATTTCTCTTGTTTAGAAATTTTAGTATCATTTACCTTTAAGCCTAATCTGAGTGTTGAATGACATAAACTAGGAATTTACTACATGACCCAATTCATCATGTATCGTTTAATAAAGCCATTTAATAAAATTTTTAGCATAGGTGACTGAAGTGCAGAGTGAGTGGGAAGGTGTGTGCGTTAACACCATTGAGTTGGCTTATTGCTGGTGAATTACACCACTTCTCCGGTGTTTAAACACATGCTCAGCAAACCCGTCTATGGGAACTGGCTTGGCACATGAGCTCCATCTGGGTGAGACTCCTGCAGCCAAGGTGGAGGGGACACAGCGGTGAAGGAGGTTCTTCCCCTGGCAGACTGCACCCCTCGGCACACAGGGATGAGCAGTGGAGTGGGCTTCCCATGCTGGGGGCGGTGGGAATGGATGCAGCGTGAGCGGTGACTCAGCATCAGACTCAGCCCCCCGCCCCAGCACCGCCAGTGAGGGGTGGATTCAGACACCTTGCAGTCTGGCTGTCGCACGCCAGCAGCTTTGCTTTTGCTGGATTCACGATGAATGCCAAGTGGGGATGGTGGAGGCAGCAGAGCTGATTCGGTACAGAGCTCAGATCAGGGGAAAGCTCCTCAGCAGCCGAGGCACAGACACCCCTAGCTGCCTGCCTCTCTTTTGGGGCCATCTGCATTGGGTCTGGTCCACAGCTGGGTAGTGCACACCAGCTGACCTCTCGCTGCAGGCGAGCTTCACTCAGCGAGCTTCATCCAATGTATGGAGGGGCTGCACTGTTTCTAGAGCTAGGTTTCAGCTCTGCCTGAGGGCAGCTGTGTCTCCCTCTTGGTCTCCAGGAGCTCCTTTGTCAGTACTGCCTGAGCCATGGGTTACATACCCTCTAAAAATTGATCCACCATTGGTAAACTTTCAATCAGATCATCTGCTGGAAGGTAGCCTTGAAATAATCCTAGGCCACTGGTGCTGCACTGGCTTTCCCCAACAGCTGGCCTTTAATGATTGCTTCCAAAAGGTCAGAGAAGCCATCAGAAACTCCAGTTAGCAGTGACTGGCCTGAGGGACAGAGTGACATAGATGCTTTTTGAATAGGACTACGGACTCAGCATGGAGAAAACATTTTTCCCAGTCACTTTTCTTCTCTTAATGCCACCTCACTGCCATCCAGCTGTGCTTTGCCCTTCTGCTAAAGTCCATCAAGCACCAAGAGCTGGGTTTCAGCTGGGTCAGTGTGCTGTGGAGAATCAGGATGCTTCTCTTCCCCCTCAATGGTGGCCTGCCATCATGACACCTTCCTTTGGGGGCAGGGAGCTTCGCAGGGAGAGCACTTCCAGTCCCATCACCCATTCCTTTTCCTTCCACACCCACCCTTCTTCAGACCAGGCTTCCTTTTTCTACAGCCTTTGCCTTTGTCATCCCTACACTGATGCCTCCCAAGAAATTCAGCTTCCCTGCCCTCAGCACCCTTCATCCTCCTGCTTTGTACCGGAGGATGCCCTGCCACTGCCATCTCCACCCTTTCCTGATGCTCATTCTGAAACGGTTACTCTCTTCTTGGATCTGCTTCAAGTGCATTTGAAGAAGCCTTTGCTGACACATTTGCTGCTGTACAGCATGAGTCATTTTGCTCCTCTCCTGTAGTTCTTGGCATTTCACAGATCTCCTCTCTTCCTCCTTTTGCAGGTTCTTTTGCAGACCTTTCCTCAGATGTCTTTTGGAAGAAGAAGGACCAGAGGGAGGAACACTAGCAAAGGCAGCTACAGAGCTTTCACGGAGAGAGGGGCCTGTGCTGACTGAGGCAGCACAAACTGGGAGGGCAGAGGAGAAGGGAACAGCTTTGTGCAGGGGAAGGACCTAAGACATTTCATCTGGGGAGCACTATCTGGCTCACACCCTTCACAAAGGAGGATCTGTTTGGGATCAAAGCACTGTTCAGCTGAGGGATGTGGCACAAGATAATAGATGGCAGTTGGCTTCTGTGCAGGGTGTTGTCACAGGATCCTTTGGATTCTACTGTGGTGCAAGGCCACCTTTGCTCTGAGGCATCCTCTTGGTCTCGCAGGAAGCTGTCCTCACCTCTGACATTGCCACCCATCCATTTGCCTCATGCTTCTTTTAGGTGTCCTGCCGTCTCTAACCGCCCAGCCTTGCACTGTTGCCCTGTTATCCAGTTAGCCCCAGTAAGGATCAGCATAGGTCTGTATGCCCTGGGATGTGCTCACCAAACCTGGCCACTCCTGTTGAACCCAGAACTCAAGAGGCAGACTCCTTCCTAGTGCCTTCTCTGCTTCTTTCAGACTGGTAGGGCTGGTAAAGGAACCATTAAGACTTCCAGGCAATAACCGTACACGTGGGATCCTGACGGCTGAGAGCGCTGGTCCTGAGGTTGGGGTAGGAAATGGCAAATGGGAAACTTTGGTCTGGGAAAGCTCACAGAGCTAATAGGACTGGGCATCCTGCCTTCTGCTCCAGGCTGGTTCTTTTAGCTCATATCTGCTTAGGCTCAGTGTGGTCTGAACAGGTCTGACCCATCTTATCAGTTAATGGATGTTTGGAAGGAGTTCAACTGGAGAGTAACTGGGAAAAGCAGAAAAAAACAATGAATACACTTAAAGTGTATTCATCTGTAAAGCATCTGCCTTTAAAGAGTCACAAGAACAGGCATAGTGGATCAAACCAGGGGATGGTCTGGCCCAGTATCCCATCTCTGACAGTGGCTAGAAGCAGATGCCTGGAGAAGAGTAGAAAAACAATGCAGGTATGTGTGTTTCTGTCCTCCAGCACTCTCTCTGCCTCCAGCTGTGTTCAACTCACACTGGGCTCGATGTGGTTTCTGTGCATTGAATCATTCTCAAGGAGTTTCTCTTCCATGGTCTTGTCCTAGTACCTGCACAGATTCTCAGCATCCACAACGTCCCATGACAAGGAATTCCCCAGCTGACCTGCAGACAGTGTGAAGAACCATAATTTTCCTTTGCTTTAAACCCAGCTCCTGCCAGCTTCACCTATTTATTTTATTGGAAAGGATAGTCAACAATCAAGTCTTGTCCATCCTCTTCAGCGGCACTCTGAACTAACACCACGTTATTATCTGCTTATTACACATGGTACCTAGAGACCTCTTGGTACAGGGCAGTGTACAAAGATAAGGCTGAATAATAGTTGCCTTGTTGCAGTGCTGCCAGTCGGAGCAGAGGAGGCAGGCAAAGGGCAGGGGCTGAGTGCATTACAGAACAGCAGTGTGAACAGAACATTCTTATCACTGGCCTCTTTCTAAAGTTGCCTTTTTCTTTTGCAGGCAGCCCAGCTGGAAAACATTGTGGTGACTCCTGCTCTCAAGCAATTTTCCTCTTGCTTCTCCTGAAGAAGTGGGTCCTGAGCAGGATGCAGCAGCCCACAGCTGGTGGCAAGAGCACAGCTGTTCCCTCGCTGTTTCCCTCCCAGCCCAGCCTCACTGCTGACTTCTACTATACACACCGCATCGTTGAGGATCCCGAGTGGTCCCTCGTTACTGTCCCCCACCTCACTGAGCTCTGCCTCCAGCACATCGTTGACAATTTTGAAAGTAAGCAGGAGCACGTCTCCCCTGGGACACGTGGAGAGAGAGCATCAGTCCTGGGGAGCAGAGGGTCACCAAGGCAGGGAGATGCATCTGAAAGGCAGAGGGTGGGACCCAGCCCTGCCAAGGGAACAGATGGGGAGAAATATCCTCCCAGGTGGCTGGTTAAACTCTTTAGTTGCTAAGTATGTACTTGTACACTGCAGGGATGGCTGTAGTCCTCTGGGCTGCTATCCAGGATGTGACTCTGCCCTAACCTTGCCATATCATTTTTTCTTCTTTCCATACTCTGCTGAACTCACTTACCTCAGCTGTGGAGTCAGTGTTTCCCTCTCTTGATTCATGCATACATTAGAGTAGCACTCGAGGATGGAGTCCTGTTGTGCTGAGTGCTGCACAAAGAGGTGGAGAATTGTTCCCTGCTTGGAGAAGCTACCATCTCAGAATATGTATTGTCTCAGGCCTTCTCCGTGGCATTTGATGGTGATGTGACAAGTTACATCCTCAGGCAGGGAATGTGCTTTTGAAGCAGGTGGACTGATAAAACATAGCAAAACAGAAAAAGCATGTCTCATCTGGGAAATGACTGGGAGCGGGAAAGAAAGGGCCTACTTGTCTTTTTGGATGACTAGGGGAGTGGCAGCAAAGACAGGTCTAAGGCTATGTCTACCCTGAGACTCTAAGACAGTATAGAGGAGCTCAGTGCTGCCTTACGCCAGGAACTGATGGTGCCTGGGGGGCAGGGCTGATGGCACTTGGAAGTCTGAGCTGGGACACCCTCACAGTCCTATCAACCTGGTCATCAGTCCAATGCCAAAAGGATTGGACCTACATTGTGTGCACATAAAAGCAGTGTCTTGGGGACTCAGTGTCTTGGGGACTCTCATGCCATTACCTAAGCTGTGTGGCTATATCTTGGGTGCCACTTGAGTGTGCCCGAGTGAAGCCAGTCCAGTTTTGCCCATACCTGTCCCACCTCTGCTTGCGTTGTGGGACTCTGCACAGAAGGTCAGCTGTAGGACACTGGAGAAGAGACTCCAGGAAGAGACTGTAATAAAATTCTGGGTGTCCTTAGGAAGTAAATGTAAATGTAAAAGAAAAGTAAATTTCCAGAAACAGAGGAAATACAAAGCTAACCCCACTTTGTGTCTCAAAATCGAATTTCCCATGCACAGATAGTCCTCTCCACTGATGATTTCTGTTACTCATCGCTACCGTGTACATGTCATCAAGCATTCATGGTGTGAATACGCACAACTTTTCTCCAGTGTTTCTTACCACAAAGATATTCCACTAGAGAGAAGCCAGCTGAGATGGAGGGCAAGCATCAGGAAAGAGACTAAGGAGAGAAAGCTCCTGGGAGAAGATAACTTTTATTTAAACAAGGTGGACCTAAAGGCTAAGAGTGTGTTTCAGTGGAAAGGAACAGGAATCAATTTGGGGCAAGGTAGACTCCTGAGTTAAGATAAAAAGGCACGAGGACTTGCTTGAAGAGCACACAGACAGTTGTTCTCAAATATCATCCTTTAATATGCTTAGAAACCAAAGGGAGAAAGATGAGCAAATGACAAGCCAAGCTCTCCCGTTGCTGTAAGGCTGAATTAGCTCTCTTGGCAGCAGAAGTCCTGCTCTGAATATAAACTGCATTCAAACTAAATTTAAACTGGGAGCTAAGTTTCTGGTGTGGTTTCCAAATGTTATGGGACTAAACCCAATTATGCTGATGTTCTATTGGAGATGTATCCTACACATTTTCTGCCAGCTTAGTTCCCTGCACCAGCAGCTGGCAACTGAGAAGAGAGCCATTATCAGCAGAGGGGAGGGCATGGGCACACAGCTGGGGGCCTGGGCAGGGCTGTAGTGCCAGCCATGGTTCCTACAGCCCAAACCAACCTCTCCTTCTCTTCCTCCCTTCTAGACAACCCTATTTTGGACCGCCTTCTGCCTGAGCACCAAAGAAAGGTGCTGGACAGGCTCTCCACTAGCCTTCCACTCACTGTGACTGCCAACCTAATAAGTGATGAGGACTACTGGAAGAGGTGCTGCACTGAGCGCTGGCAAGTGTGTGACATCTCCAACTATGGAGGCAGCTGGAAACGGATGTTCTTTGAACGTCACCTGGAGAACATCCTTAAACGTTTCATCCCTGACACCACAGACCCCAACCAGGTCCTAGAGCTCATCCCACTCTGCAAAGACTATGTGCGGAAACTGGAGGTTGATCAGTTCCTGCCACCAGTGAAGGTGGATCAAAAGGAGGTGAGGGATGACCTTTCTGATACAGGGAGTGACTTTGGACTTGGTGAGGACTCTGTGCATCACTATGACCTGGGAGTTCTCACTACTGCTCTCCCTCACCTTGAGGAGCTTCATCTCATTTACGGTGTGAAGGACTGCGGCATGAACTTTGAGTGGAACCTCTTTAACTTCACCTATCAGGACTGTTGCAACCTGACTATTGCTGTGAAGATGTGCCACAACTTGAAAGTAATGTATCCCAAACTGAAACTTATTTTCACAGCTAGATCTTCAAATTGCCCAGGGGTAGAAACCCAAGGACCAGTTTTGCTTGCTGCAGTCTGGCAGAGTGCAGAGATGTTAACTTGCTGGCCTAGCACTGAGTATCTTGTTCTGCATGTGTTCTTGTTAGAACAGGTTGTCAGAGGGTCGGTGAGAAAAATACTTGCTCCCACAAAACATGTTTGCTGTAACCCAAGAGAAAGCAACATTTCTGTTTTAACTCCTCGCATAGTTCTGGGAGGGAGCAGAGGAGAAGCCCAAAGAGCGTTTGTCATAAAGAGCTTTTGGTGGTTATGCCCAGTAAATACACATCAACATGCCCCGGAGCAGCAGAGACCCCCAAGAAGAGCATGGGGAAAAATTTACATTTGCCTTAGAGTGATGAGGGGTTTTCTTTCTGGGCGCTAAGACAATCTTAATTTCTGTGGCAACTGCAGTGGAGACACTCACACCCTTCGAAATATCAGCAAGCATTGCTATCCAGAGTGCAGCCAGAGGCAGCTGGCTGAATGCTCTCCCCACAGATGGCATGCTTTGGGAAATACTTGACTGCTTGGCTTCCAGAAGATAAATTACCTCTGCTGTGACTATTGAGGTGCCCTGGCCACACAGGGCATTGCCCTTCTACAGAGAGCACTGTGGTTGCCACCAGTGCACATGCTCATTTAGACAGTGTTTGACTGTGATCTGGGGTGAGTTCTGCTGTTTTGGTCAGCTTTATCTTGTTTGAATTTATCCCCCTATGTCAGAGGTCCCATGGAGTCAGAGGAGAGGAACAAGTATTTCCAGATTAACCATTTCTCCCAAGAATAGGCAGGGGACATCAGTGGCATGTCCTGCCTGCTGGAAGTATCTGCCCACTATAAAAGCAACTACTTGAGCCTACTGGCTAAAGGTGTGTGAAGTGAAGGGAGATGAATCCTGTCTGGTGGGCCATGGGCTTAACTTACTGGGGGTCTTGTACAAAGCTCAATCCAAAGCGCTGGCTGTTTCACTGTCCCTGTCCTTTACACCCACAGGTTCTCAAGCTAACGCACAGCAAAGTGGATGATGACAAGACTGGGCTGCTGGTCCGTAACTTGCTGGATCACCCCTGCTTGGTGGAGCTGAACTTGTCCCACAATCTCATCAGGGACAACGGGGCACAAGCTGTTGGCAAGTTGATCAACCACAGCAGATTAGAAATCCTTGATCTGTGTAACAACCAGATCCATCACCTGGGGGCTCAGGCTCTTGCTCAAGCCCTAGCTGAGAACTCCACCCTCAAGTCCCTGAATCTGCGCCTCAACTATGTGGAGGACAAAGGCGGGGAGGCGATCAGCCGTGCCCTGCTGACCAACACCACCCTGAAGTCCATCCATCTGGGAAGTAATAACCTGTCAGAGCCAACTGCTACGCTTTTCTCCCAGGTCCTGGCTCAGAACACCACCCTGATGAGTGTCAACTTCTCATGCAACCACCTGGGGCTGGTAAGAGAAACCCCTTCTCCCTGCAGTCTGTGAGCCTGCACAGTGGCCTTGCAAAGCAGATTCAGAGCCTGCCCCATCTTGAAGCCGCAGAGGCAAATGCACCCCTCACTTTGCAATCTTGCTGTGATAACAATCAGTTGCAAGCTGGGAAGAGACTGTAGCAGATGGCAGGAAGGAGAAGGACATCTTCTGTGCAGGCACACACATTTATCTCACTCATTACATCTCTGTTCACAGGCCTCTCCATCTGAATCTAGCTTCCAGGCTTTGGGCTTCTGAGCAGAGAGGGATTTTCCCCCCAGGAAAATGAAAATGAGTATGTCTGGGAAAAATCACAGCCACTTTGCACACATGGGAGTAGATAATAACAATAGGTGGCATGAGATGAGGGCCTTATGAATATCCTCTGTACTTTGGATCTGCTGTGCTGTCTGTCACTCAGCAGCACACAGAGAGTGTCACCCTTCCCAGAATCTCTTCTATTCGTCACACTGTCTAACAGTCTCAGAGGAGACTGGTAGAAAATTGGCTTGGTTGTTGAGCTCCTTTAACTCACCTTGCAGCTCTGGAGTGGTGCAGTAGGTCAGAAGCGTCATGTCTGGGTGCTTACAAGTGGCTCCTAAACCACAGACTTACATTTTCTAGATAGAGGAGCATCCACAGATCTCACTACGTCCCTAAGAACTGCAGTATGCAACACGCTCACAAACCAAACTGCTTCTCTTCTGCCAATTAAAAAGAGCTTTAGAAATCTGAAACTAGACAGCCAAAAGCAATCATGCTGGCTTTTAAACTTTCAGCACTGCCTCGATTTTTCTCACTGTCACAATAAAGAGATGGCAAGACCAGCTGTCCCTGCTGGCAGGAATATTGGCAGCAATGTGTTTGACAACGCTTTTAAAAGGATTTGATGGCAGAAAACCTTTTGTGAGTTCTGAGGTTTATGATCTTAGATGTGGAAAACCATTTGTGTGTAATGATACAAGGGGGCAAAGGTTGGAAAGGAGAGAAGGACTTTTGTTTAGTAAATAATAATCTCTGTGCTTAGCATCTTCCTTCTGATGAGCTCTCCTGGTACCCATTTGTGAAGCTCCACAGCATCCCAACAAGTGGGCTATTGGTATTATCTTTGGGGAAATGGGGATTTTTGCTAGAGATGCATCAAATTCTCACCTCCATACCCCATTAAAAAGAGACTTCCTTCCTGTCCTTTTTGCCCTGTCCTTTTTAGGAAAAGGTTAAGAGGCAGGGTGCTAGGATGAGGGGACTTCCTGGATGGAGGAGATGGGGGAAGGAGGTATATTTGGTAACTGAAAGAGAATAGCTATGAGGAAAAAAAAAAAAAAAGTCAAATTGTCGCATCCCTAAAGACAATGCTTCAGGTAAGGGAGGGAAATCTCCCAAAGTGAGTTGCCTCCCTGATGCTGTCCACATTGCATTTTCTGTCCTGCATGGGCTGGACTTCACTTGCCTGAGTTGTTCCCCCCAGGAAACCCAACCCAACCTGAGGAATGGTGTCCAGGCAGGAGACTGCCAGCACTGGGGCTCTCTCCACTGGTGAGGTGAGGAGCAGCGCACTAATCACATTGCCCTTTGTCCCCTGCCAGCGGTCAGCGGGGGACCAGGGGACAGGGGAGAGCAGAGGCTCCTCTCAGGTTAGGAGAGCACCAGCTGTGCCATTAACCAGCCTGAGCTTGAGGACTCCTGACATGGTACCCAGAGGGAGTTATTAGCGTGTGTCATATCACTGAGTGCTGCGTAAGTTTACACTCCCTGCCTGTGTACTTCTCCTGTGAACAACAACATTTTGGGCTTGGGCGAAGGCCTTCGTCACTTTTGGCATCATCTCATGGGCTCCCCACCACTGGCAGCAGGGAAGTGCTGGAGAAGTTGCCCTGGGAAGGAGGGAAATGGAGGAATACACTTCACTTTTTAATCTCTTCCTTTAACCTCCTGCTTCTTATCCATTTGCAGGATGGTGGGAAGCAGCTCCTTGATGGGCTGGCAGATAACAAGACTTTGACCGAGTTTGACCTCCGCCTGACAGAGGTGGGCCAGGAGACCGAGTACCTCATTCATCAAATTGTGTGGGCCAACTGGGAAGCAGCGAGGCTGGCGTCTCTGCAGCACCCCCCTGCCAAACCCCTCTGAAGAAAATGCTCCAGAGAGCAATGAGCTTCGCAGGTGCTGCGTTGTAGATAGTTTACTGCAGAGGCTTGTTTTTATTCCTGTTTCTGAGAAACACTCAACTTGAGGCCACCACCTCAGCCTTTCCCGGATCCCCATATTGCAACCTGTGACTTAACACAAGAGACACTAGACCTCATGGGACTGTAGTGGCATCACAGAAGAAATCTGCCTGTTGAGCCCTCTCTCCCACCGCATCCAAGACCAAATCCAGCCTCCTGTGGTGTTTCTTACATGTTCTGGCAGCAAAATTAGTTCAGGCAACTGGATGTTGTCCCACCTGTGAAGCAGCTAAGGTGAAGTCTCTACCATCTAAATGGTTCAGTTCAGACAGAACCTTTCGGGCAGGCAGCTCTTTTAGGCTTTTTACTGAGGACGTGAGATACATAGAGGATAGAGGGAATGTTGTTTCGAATTCCTCGTCAACTTTTTCTGGCTACTGCTCTGCTCAAGAATTTATTCGTTTTTATAGCAAAATCTGTTTGGAGTCTCAGATCTGGGTGGTGAAAAGCTAAAAAAAAAAAAAGAAAATCAATAAATGACAGGTCTCTCCACCATGGTTTCCTGCTTTGGGTTGCTATGCCTTTGATCAGTGCTAGCCTGCTTTGCAAACAGGTGAATTCTTTACAACCAGATGCTTACCTTAACTAGTAGTGCTTTTCTGTGCAAACCTGTCAAAAAAAAATCTGTTTTTTGCCAAACTTGAACCTAGAGGGGTCCCGCAGGACTGCTGGCCCATACTGCCCACAGGATTGAAAACAGCCGCTTCCTTGGGCTTGGAGGAAAACAGAGCAGCTTCCTTCTGCCTTATAGGTTGAGTATAGGACAGGGCAAGGACCTGATTGCCTTGGTCCTTCAACCTCCCCACTCAGGAGAGGTCCACAGGGAATTAAGTAAGTGGGCTGACCTCCATCCCCTCCCACCCTTTGAGCAACGCAGGGGCTTCAGGCATCTCCCAGCCCTGCCTGGCATCAGCACTCACAAACCCACCACAGGCAGCCACCTCAGTGAATCATCTGAAACTTTTATTACACCGATTTGGTTTACAATCTTTGTACTTTGATATTTCCAACAAAAAAGGCAACATTGTGATATACTGTTTGTACATATATAGAGAGACAGACAGAGCTAGATCATATTGACAGAGTTGAAAAGTAAAAACTGCTTCCCAGTGCTCACAAAAGAATTTGTTTGCCACGTACCTGCTTCTGCCTTGCTCTGCCTGATGGATACAGACGCCTGCCGGCCCTCAGCCAACAGGACCTTTACCTGCGCTGTGTCACCCCCTTGGAGAGCAGAAAGGATGGAGTGCGAGGGTTGCAGACAGGGCTCAGCCCCAAGCCCTCACAGGTCTGTGTAGCTCCCTTCCCAACTATCTGTGAATGCCCCAGGGGCCACGTCCACAAGAAAACTTAACCAGCGGCAGCAACTGTGAAACCTCCCCACATGGGCATCTCCCACTACTTGTTTCTCATCCTCGAGACCGAGGTATTGAATAGATTTATTTCTTTTTATTTGCATTTACAAAATATTTCCACTGAATGACACACCTGAATGAGATGAGAACTTGTGTTCAGAAACAGCAGAAAAGACCTAGATCAGTTTCAGGCTGATGATGGAACAGCTCCAGCAGCAAGGGTGGGGTAGGGGCTTAATGGGGGCGGCCTGGTCCTGGGCAAGCCTGCCTGTAGCTCCAAGGACAGGGCTGCGTCAGGTCCGCCAGTTGTGCAATGAAAGCTCATGCTGGGAGGGCAGCGGTGAGATCCCTCAGACATGCTGGCAGACACATGGGGAGGAACTGGCCACCAGAGCCAGTGAGGAACAGGGATGGAAAGAAAAGGGCTTGGGAAAACGTATTATCCCCAGCACAACTGTTGACTTGCTTTTCAGGATACTCAGGGCTCCTTTCCCTGCAAATAGCCAAGACTGTTAACACCACCTGAGCACCCTCCAGACCCACTCCTGGGCTACCACATGCAGGAAT